TCGACGTCGATTCGGTATTAAACTTGTATCGAGGTCTGACACGACTCACGACTCTTGCAGGTACACGGTGTCCGCGGGCAGCAAGCCGGGCGACAACTACCTGGGCCTGCTGTACCGCATCGAGGTGAGGGAGGGCGAGGCCGCCGAGCCCGCGCTGCGGCTCATCATCAAGGGCATGCCCAGGAGCGAGCGGCGCCGGGAGGAGACGCGCATCGTCATCTTCTTCGACAACGAGTGCAACATGTACCACACCGTCCTGCCGGGCCTGAACCGCTTCGTCACCGGCGCCATCGGCGTGGACGAGGTGCGCGGCGTGAACGGCGCCCACGACTCGTTCCTGTACACGGCGCCGTTCCACCACGCGCACCAGGGCGGCGTCGAGGGCGAGGACACCATCGTGCTCGAGGACATGAGGCCGCTCGGCTTCACGCTGCACGACCGGAAGGTGGGGCTCGACGAGCACCACGTCCGCGGGGTGCTGCGCGCGCTCGCCTACCTCCACGCCGCGTCCATCGCCATGCAGGATCAGCGGCCCGAGGAGTTCGCCAAGCTGCGCGGCCACATCAGGGAGACGCTGTTCTGCGCGAGCAACCCCTTCGCGTCGCACGTCGACGATATGGTGCAGCGATCCTACGGTGGGCACAGGGAGGGCCGGCGCCGTGCTAGTCTCATCTAGAGTCTCTTCGACCTGACGAGGAATAAGTTAGACTGTCTGGGTTACAGATTACATCAAAGAAAGGTTTCCGGAGGGAAGCGCGGGCCACATCAAGATGAAGAGTCTAATGGAAGGGTACATGGGAAAGATGGCTAAGCTGACCGCCGAAAGCGAAGACGGCGGTAACGCCATACTCCATGGCGACTGCTGGACCAACAACGTGCTCTTCAAGTACAGCAAGGTGCGTCAAGTTGTGTCAGTGCGATGCCGAACCTCAATTCTAATCTCGTTTCCGACTGATCACATTGAGGACTTCCCTTCTTTCAGGCGGGTTCTGTAGAGGAGGTGTGTCTGCTGGACTTCCAGCTTGCCCGATTCGGGCCGCCCGTCTTGGACATCGCGTACCTGCTTTACTGCTGCACAGTCCGCGAGTTCCGCGACAAACACCTCGACAAGCTCCTCAGGGAATACCACGACCAGCTGTCCGCCAACCTGCGGCGGCTGGGCAGCGACCCGGACAAGGTGTACTCTAGGGAGACCATGCAGGTGAGTGAGAGTGACGTCGCAGGTAAAGGAAGTCCCCCACAATATGTGACCCTAATGATGCACTTCCTTGCTGTCCAGGCGCAGCTGCGCGAGCGCATGCGCTTTGGCCTGGGCATGGCCGTGATGACCGTGCCCCTGTTCCTGGCCGACTCGGACGAGATCCCCGACATGGACGAGCAGTTCGACAAGGGAGCGGACATGAAAGAAGTCATGGACGTGGAGAGCAAGAGTGCGCCCGAGAGGAACAAGCGCATCAGCGACGTGCTGGAGGAGATGATGGAACGTGGCTGGATATGACGGGTGACAACAGCAGCAATAGTGTCAGGCGAGCCGAGATAGGGGCTGGCGAAGAGACGCTACATAAGTTACCACTCAGACGATTGCCATCACTCACTATGCAACCAAAAAGTCTCAGAAGTTGATCCATCTGTCCAAAAAGTGGGTGGCAGGTGGCAGCAGCAGCAACAATAACAAACGAGCACATTGTTGTTAAACCTGTCACCCCTTTTTCGGAAATTAATGAGGGGGGAGGGGGGTGTCATCACGATATTTTATCAACACAGGGTAAATTTCTACTTTAAACCACCTATGATACAAATGAAATTCAAAGATGATATTTTAAAATAGTATTATTGAATAAACTTATTGAACAAATCTGATCTGCCTGGCAGCGCCTGTCTGCTGCACGTGGTGGTCGTTCTGCTGATGACACCCATTCGCCCCTTGCATCAATCGAGGGTCGAGATCT